TCTTGGACAGGTGGACCAGGTGAGTCCAGCGTTTTGATGGAACTTTTACTGCAGGATTGCTGCTATTTTACAGGCTACAAGCAAGAGGTGGAACACCTGGAGAGCTGGTGCAAAGAGAATAACCTTCACATCAATGTGAAGAAGACAAAGGAGATGATTGTGGACTTCAGAAAAAACAAAAAACATCTACAGCCCCCTGAACATAAGAGGATCTGCGGTGGAAGTGGTCTCAAGCTACAAGTATTTGGGTGTACACATGAATGACAACCTCAGCTGGAGCAACAACACTACCAGCCTGATCAAGAAAGCTCATCAGAAACTCTACTTCCTCAAGCGGCTGAGAGGAGCTAGTCTGGGAAGCTCAGTCCTCACCTCCTTCTACAGGTGTGCAGTGAAGAGCATCCTGTGCTCCAGCATCAACGTGTGGCATGGAGGCTGCACAGCTGCAGAAAGAAAAGCTTTGCAGAGAGAGGTGAAAGCTGCACAGAAGTCTGTCAGAGTCAGTCTCCCCACCATCATAGACATCTACACCTCTAGATGCAGGAAGACGACAACCTGCATCATGAAGGACCCCACTCACCCAGCGCACACACACTTTTTGTCCCACTCCCCTCAGGAAGGAGATTGAGGAGCATTAAGTGTAGAACCACTAGACTGAGGAACAGCTTCTACCCTGAGGCTGTTAGACTAATGAATCTCTAACTAGAATAATCACTGTGAATAATCATATCCTGGAGACAGTAATACATGCATTCATTACATCTAGGCTTGATTACTGCAATTCGCTCCTGTTTGGTATCAGTCAGACCTCCATTGCACGACTACAACTGGTCCAGAATGCAGCAGCCCGATTTTTAACCAGTACAGGCAAAAGAGAGCACATTACACCCGTTTTGGCCTCACTGCACTGGTTACCGGTTCACTTTCGAATCCAGTTCAAAATACTCATGTATGTCTATAAATCACTGAACAGTGTCGCCCCCCCCTCCATCTCTCTGATTTGCTACAACCGTATGTCCCACCACGCTCCCTGAGGTCAGCGGACCAGTTGCTCCTCACAGTTCCAGGAACTCGTCTTAAGCACAGAGGTGACAGGGCCTTCTCTGTAGCAGGACCAAGACTCTGGAACGAGTTACCTCTGCTTGTCAGACAGGCCCCCTCCCTCTCGGTTTTCAAAAGGAAGTAAAAGGAAAGGAAAAGGTAACAAAAAAACAGCTAGATTCTAAGGCGAATGTAGAAAACTAAAAACAGGAACATGTCTGCATTGGTCCCTGCCAGGAGTCCAACAGATTCTTAAAGCCACTTAGAGAGGTCAAGGCCGAGAGCTTCAAATCTTTTATGCATAATAAATTTATTTATTCATTCCGGATGAAAACAAGAGTCCAGTTGTTCATCAACATAGTTTACAGTTCAGTTAACTTGTTTTAATAGTGTGTTCAGTTTAATTATCATTGTTTGTGTGACATACAGTTTGTGGTGTTGAATAAATAAATAAAAATTAAACCTGATGTCTTCATTTTCAACTTTAGTGTTCACACTATATGTTTAGCATCATTTTAAATTTGAATTACATGTCCAGATAGCTTCATTTAGCTCAGAGCTTCATTATATCTTACACTAACATAAATACTGTTTATTATTATTAAACTGTTATTATTTAGCACATGTAGTATGTTATAGTGCAGCGCGACGTGTGCGCGTGCCACGTTCTATAAACAGCGATATTAGAACTGGCTCTGACTGTGTCTCTTCCAACTCAAATGTCGGTCACAGCACCTAGAATCTGACGTAGATTCATTATGAGATTAAAATATTCCATCATTCGAGGTTCTGAAAGCAGTGTATCCGCTGCCATGTTGATAGAAATATAGCGTCTGTCCTTGCGTGCATATGTGATTTAACACAAAGCCTCAGCAGTAGATGTTTAAATTATCAGCGGGGGGTCAGCAAAAAATCTCCACTCTGGAAGGTGGGTTCAGAAACCTCCGGATTCAAAGAGGGGGGCCACTGGTGTCGTGTAAATGATCATCAGAACCGCAGAGAGAAACCTGCAGATGCACTCAAAATACGCGCCGTGTAAATGGCCCCTAACTCTCTGGTCCCTCTGTTTTGATGTCTGGAGGACATCAAAGCCTGGATGGCTGTAAACTTCCTAAAGTTTAATGAGGAAAAGACTGAGGTGATGATCTTTGGAAGCTCCACTGAGACTCCCAATGTCAGTGTTGGTTCATTGGCCCAGTATATCAGGCCAATTATTACAAACCTGGGGGTCATTGTCGATGCTAGACTAAAATTAGAAAACCACGTCAGAGCAGTTGTTGAAAATAGTTTTTTTTCCATCTGAGGCAGCTGGCTAAGGTGAAGCAGATTCTTTCTAAGCAGTATTTTGAAACAGTAGTTCACACCTTTGTGACCACTCAGCTGGACTACTGTAACAAACTATACAGGAATCAGTGATTCATGTATCTGTCAGCTTCAGAGGGTACAGAACGCTGCTGCACAGCTTTTAACTGGCACACGAAAGTTTGAACACATTTCTCCTGTTTAGCCTCCCTGCACTGGCTGCTCGTACATTCCAGGATTCATTTTAAAATTATTTTATTTGCTTTTAAAGCTCTTAATGGACTTGCCCCACCCTATCTGTCCAAGTTGCTGCATCCATATGCACCCTCTCGATCCCTCAGGTCATGTGATCAGCTGCTCCTGAGTGTGCCAAAGACAAAGCGTAAGCTCAGAGGAGACCGTGTTTTTGCTGTGGCAGCTCCTAAACTGTGGAACAACCTTCCCTTGAACATCAGACAGGCCTCTTCCCCGTCTGTTTTTAAATCTTCTTAAAACCCATCTCTTCTCCGTGGCCTTTGACACCATCTGAGATTTTGATATTTAATCATTTTAATCGCTTGTATTATCTGATTGTATGATTGTTTTTTTACACAACTTATATTTTGTGACTTTTAATCATTTTAATCATTTTTATTTTCTGACTGTATGATTTTTTTGTTGCGTGTACAGCACTTTGGTCCCGTAGGTGTTTAAAGTGCTCTATAAATAAAGCTGGTATGGTATAGACCTGGTGCCCTGACATCCCACATCATGAAGGTCCTAGAGACACTTCTGTTGGCCCAAATGACTAGACAAACAAGCACAGGACCCACTGAAGTTTGCTTATCGGCGTGGACTTGGAGTTGAAGATGCCATCATACACCTGCTTCAGCAAACTCACTGTCATCTAGAAAAGGCAGACAGCACTGTGATTTCTCCAGTGCATTTAACACAATCCAGCCTGATGTGCTTTGTCAGGAACTCCAGAAGACTCAACCTGGATCAAAGACTACTTGACAAACAGACCACCATTTGTGAGACTGAAGGGTTGTGTGTCTAACCAGGTGGTCAGTAGCTCAGGAGCACCACAGGGGACTGTACTCTCACCATTCCTTTTCACTATGTACACCTCAGATTTCCAGTACAAAACAGACTCCAGTCATCTGCAGAAATATTCAGATGACTCTGCAGTGGTCGGGTGTATCTGAGGTGGACAAGAAGCTGAGTACAGGGAACTGGTGGACCGCTTTGTGGCATGGTGTGGAAACAATCATCTCATCTTGAATGTGAACAAAACGAAGGGCATGATTGTAGATTTCAGGACAAACAGGAACAGGTCCAACATTATTTCCATCTTGGGAGAAGAAGTGGAGATGGTGGAGAAGTATAAATACCTTGGGGTTCACCTGGACAACAGACTGGACTGGAAATGCAACAGTGAAGCCGTCTACAAGAAGGGACAGAGCAGACTGTACTTCTTGAGGAAGCTGAAGTCCTTCAGTGTTTGCAGCAAGATGTTGCATATCTTCTATAAGTCTGTTGTAGAGAGTGCTATCTCTTCTTCCATCATCTGCTGGGGTAGCAGCAGAGCAAGTGACTTAAAACAGATCAACAAGCTCATAAAGAAGGCTGGCTCAGTTCTGGAGACTCCTCTAGAACCTTTGGAGATGATTGTACAAAGAAGGATTCTTCATAAAATAAAGAACATTATAGACAACCTCAGCATCCTCTTCATCAGACTGTCATACAACAACAGAGTGTCTTCAGTCTGAGGCTTCTTCAGATCCATTGTAGGACAGACCACTACAAGAGATCCTTTCTGCCCACAGCCATCAGCATCTATAACAACTCATTAATGAAACCAGGATGATGAGTTACAACATTTAATTTCCCTCTGGGATTAATAAAGTATTTTTGAATTGAATTGAATCCTGACTTGTTGTAGCAGCCATGTTGAATGTTTTCTCACTCAAAGTTGGAGATAAATGTGTTGGCGTGTGAGTAGTCAAATAGATGATTGTCATGTTGGTGTATAACTTTTAAATAACAACAAATGCATCTCTTTGAAATTTTCCTGTTTTGAAAACACCAATATTCTTAATGATCAAAGGAAAACTTTACAGTGTTAACTCTTTAAGGAAACGCTGTTATGAAACAAATGTTTGCAACAAGATTGTTAGCTTAGCATGCTGTGAATAAGCATGCCTGTTAGTTTAATTTTCAAGTTACAAAAGCTAATAAACAGGCAAATCAACTAGCTAACATTAGCTTGTGAGGGAACAAAAGCTAATAAATTGACTGACACTAGTTACCTTTAGCTTATCAGGTTACAGAGGCTTATATCTTTGCAGGCTAACTTGCTAACGTTATCTTGTCAGATTACAAACAAAAGACTTGGCTAACTAATTTGCCATTATTTGCTTTTCTGACGAGAGACTTAAATAACTTGGATAATCAACTAGCTAACATAAGATTCAGACTATTTATCCCTTTACATGGAAATATGAAATGTTTCTGAAAGATAAACAAACAATCGTTTGGTATACAATTTCCAGAGGACAGCTAAGAAGTGAACTCTGTTGGTCGCACAGGCAAAGATTTCTTAAGGCCACACATCTGTGTTATATTATATATTATACCAGTGTGTTTTCTAATTAAAAGTCCAGTGGTCACTTCATCACAAGAAAATTAAATCCTAATGTTCTTTTACTCAGAGAGGTTTTGTTCATCATTCACAACTGTTGTTCCCTCACAGCCCAGAGGACGATGACTTCGACATGGAAGAAGAGCTGCAAAAGCTTAAAGCTCAGCGACTACCCCGGCAGCCTGACCTAGAACCCCGCAGCAGGAGGGGACTAATAGGAGACCCCAGAGTGACCATTATCCCTGAGGTAGGCGGCCCCGAGGATAGCAAGGAGGACTCCGACTCTGATGGTCCCATCCTGTACAGAGATTATGATGATGACGATGAGGAGGATGTTCCTCCAGGTATGTCTCTCTGGTTTTGTCCTATTCAGATATATTAAAAACTCAAGAGTTCTGTTGTAAACTCTGTTTTAATTTCAAATTCACAAACATACATGCATACCATACCAGCCTTATTTATAAAGCACTTTAAACAACCTTAGGGCCAAAGTGTTGTACAGTTAGTCAATAAAACCAACAGCAGTACATATATGCAGTACAGTATGTACCATGCATAAAAAAAAAACATTTAAAAGCAAACCAAAAACATCCATATACTAAAAACAAATAAAATGAATTAAATTAGATTTCTTAAAAATAAACAAAAATTATGCTGGTGAAGATTCTCAGTCATCCAGGACATGATGAATTCATCATGAATTTTTGTATTGAATGCTTTTAAACTAAAATTAGATAAAATCAACATCTCAGGTGGTTTCAAAAGCCAAGCAGAAGAGATTGGTTTTAAGAAGTGATTTAAAACCAGAAAGTTTTAAGAAGTGATTTAAAACCAGACAGTTTTAAGAAGCGATTTAAAACCAGACAGTCTGATGCTTAAAGGCAGGTAATTCCCCATTTTGGGAGCAACAGCAGAGAAAGCACGATCTCCTCGAAGCTTTCATTTTGTTTATTGGACACTCAGGAGCAGCTGGTCTTCTGACCTGAGAGAACGAGTGGGCATGTAGGGGTACAGCAGTTCAGTGATCATAAGGCAGGGCAAGACCATTTAACGATTTAAAAACAAATAAAATAACTTTGAAATGAATCTTAAAATGTAAAGACAGCCAGTGCAGCAATGCTAAAACAGGGAAAATGTGCTTGTTTTTTTGTGCCAGTTAAGACTTGCTGCTGTATTTTGGACCTTCTGAACTTCTGAAAGTGAGCAACAGAGAAAGCACTGACCCCTATATAAAGTGCATTACAGTAATCAAACTGAGTGGTGATGGAGTAGATTACTGTCTCGAACATTGTTCTGGTAAGAAATGGCTTAATTTTAGCCAGCTGCCTTAACTGAAAATGCTCGATTTGACCACAGCCCTGATTTGATGATCATATTTAAGATCAGTATCCACTTTGACACCCAGGTTTATGATCACTGGCTTAGTATATTGAGCCAAGGAATGCAGATCTACATGCAGGGTGTCATTGGATGTTCCAAAAAATAAAACCTGTCATCTTCTCATTTCAGTGCAAGAGGCTTAGAACCATCCACGTCCGTAAGTCCTCGATATATATCTGTAGTGGTTCAAAGGAAAATGAGACCTTCTTCTTAAAGGGGACATAAACCTGACAATCATCTGCATACAAGTAAAAGAAATTATGTGCTTTCGAAAAATGGACCTAAGTGGAAGTAAATAAAAAGTTCACTCACTCAAATACAATCTGAACCACTCCAGTAATGTGCCTCTAATGTCCACCCACTGCTCCAAACGAGAAAGTAAAATCTGAAGGTCCACAGTGTCAAAAGCAACCGTTAAGTCTAAAAGTACGATAACGTCTCCAGAGTCTGTGCCTAAAAACATGTCATTAAAAAACTTTCAAAAGGCTTGATTCAGTGCTGTGTAGTGATATAAAAGTAGACTGTAAAACCTCTAAGATGTTTTGCTCTTTCAAGAAGTCAAGTCAAGTCACTTCTTCCGGTAAGATGGCGCCTGTGTACATGGCTTGCAATCCACCTCTGCTGATGGTGTTCGTATTTTTGGTGTTTTTTTCATTTCTCATCTGTGACATCAACGCTCTGCTGGTGTATGAACGAAAACAACTTTTGGATCTTCGACCTTGTGGCACCAATGTCGCTTATTTTGATAATTATGAGCGAAACTCTGGACCCCCCCCTGTCCCCCCGCTGCTGGCGGACGTGCCTGTTTACCTGCAGCGAGGCGCGCACCTGCCTCCCCGGAGACGTCGCTCCAGACGCCGTGGAAAACGCGCTGGCCGGCTGGTGAAACTGAAAGCCCTGCTGGCTGCCTCTGAAACATCCTCTCCAGCTGATGGTGAGCGTTTCCACCTCCGCTCCTGGCACTGTACAGATCCTGTGGCGCGCTGTCTGGTCCCGCTGTCAGGGTCCCATCATCACACTGGGCCTGTGCGCGGCTGGGTTTCCTGCCGGAGGCGCGCATCTATCTATGCAAATCTGAGGCGGCTGGACAGGACACTGCAACCATCTCCTCCTGTGGTGGATTCTACGAGGATGGCCCTGATAAATGCCAGATCGCTGGCTAATAAAACTTTTATTTTGAACGACTTTTTCCTGCTGCAACCGACTGGACTTTCTTTTCATCACTGAGACTTGGATCTGCCCTGGTGAGTTCAGTGTTTTTCTGGAATTACTACCTCCAGATTGTTCGTTTTGCAATGCTCCAAGGACAACTGGTCGTGGTGGAGGATTATTGGCTGTTTTTAAGAAACATTTGCACTGCAGACAGCTCCATGGTTCAGCTAATTATTCGAGTTTTGAACTGCTCTGTTGTGAGCTGGGCCGCTCCAACCCAGTTCTGTGTGCTATTTTTTACAGACCCCCCGGATACCATAAACAGTTTTTAAATGAACTATCTGACTTTCTAACTGGTGTTCTGCTCCAATATGATCGGGTTTTGATTTTAGGTGACTTTAATGTCTACGTGTGCTGCCCTGATAAACCATTAGCTCAGGACTTTCTAGACCTCATCCAATCCTTGAACTTTGTGCAGAGTGTTGTTGGTCCGACTCACCAGCAGGGCCACACTCTAGACTTAGTTTTAACACATTCAAAATATCCTGATGCATGCTCAATTTATATTTATTTATATTTTGAACCACTTTGGCCAGGATTGCCTCAAACTAGTTAGAGAGTTTGAGAAAACAGCAAGGAAGAGGGCAGACTACAGGAACCATTTGCGATTCAACCTCAGATGTCGACAAAGTGGCATCATTCCCAAGAGCCTGGAACTAAAATCTTCGGTCAGCGGGCACCGGGCAAGCAAGATCCTTCAGAAGGCACAGACCCAGCTGCTGAATGAACGGGTGAGACAGACCAATTTTGCAATTGGGGCCTTGAAGGCAAAAGAAGAGCGCATTAAACAAAAACTAACAACGTGTTTAGATCAGACCACACTTCAGCAAGTGTTGGACTGTACAGATCAGGCACGCTTAGCACAGCATGTCAAGTCCAAGACTCGACAACAAAACAAGTTTAACGTACTAATAGCCCACCAACACCATCACTATTCCAATAAGAACACATTCAGTGTAGGACAACACTCCAGTAGTCAATTACATGCCAGGGAGACAGAAAAGTGGGTGAAGAATTTATCTGACAGACAGCTCACCCAGCCAGAGACAGAGATTATTGCCAGGGGACTGAACTTTGCGGTTGCACCAAGTAGAATTCCTCTGGTGGAAATGATCACAGCTACTGAGTCAGCCATCCGCAACAACAAAATTAAAGAGGCTGAAGCAGAACAGCTCAGAGTCAAAGTTTCAGCCTGCCTCAGCAATGCCAAACCACCACCTTCCAACATCAGTAGAGAGAAGAGGGATGCACTCACCACTCTTAGCAAGGACAAAAACATCATCATTCTCCCAGCAGACAAAGGAAGGTGCACAGTGATTTTGAACCAGAAAGACTATCATGAGAAAGTTATGACACTCCTTAGTGACGTAAACACTTATGAACCTCTGAAAAGAGATCCAGGAAGTGGTTACAAGAAAAAGTTAATAGATTGCCTGAAAATTTTGGAGCAGGACAAGGCTATTGACCGTTTTCTGTACTACAGACTGTACCCAGGGGAGGCCACACCTAGTCTGTATGGTTTACCTAAAATCCACAAACAAGGTGTACCTTTAAGACCAATTGTTAGTATGATTAACTCTGTCACTTACAATGTTTCCAAATATCTGGCGTCTGTACTCATCCCTTTAGTTGGCAGCTCAGAACACCACATACAGAACACCATGGACTTTGTGGACAAGGTGAGGGATGTCATCATGGAGACTGATGAAACAATGGTCTCTTTTACCATACCATACCATACCAATTTATTTATATAGCACTTAAAACAGCAACAAGGCCAACCAAAGTGCTGTACAAAAGAACCAAACATGCACATTTTGATGTCACATCACTCTTTACGTGCATTCCTGTTGATGATGCAGTAGAGGTGGTCAGTTTAAAATTAAAATTAGACACCACTCTGAGCAGCAGGACCACACTTTCTACAGAACAACTGTGTCAACTCTTGAAACTGTGCCTGCAGTCAACCTACTTCACATATGGGGAGCAATATTATAGGCAGAAACATGGGTGTGCTATGGGGTCTCCAGTTTCTCCTATTGTTGCCAACCTGTACATGGAGGAGGTAGAAAAGAGAGCCTTGACGTCCTTTTCAGGGACACCACCAAGTCATTGGTTCAGGTATGTTGACAACACCTGGGTTAAAATCAAATCTCAGGAAGTCCAACATTTTACTGACCACATCAACTCTGGATAAATACATCAAGTTCACACGAGAAGATGTAAAAAATGGCAGGTTGGCTTTCTTGGACTGTGAGGTCTCAGTCTCTGGTAGAGGACATTTGCAAACTGAGGTGTACCGCAAACCCACCCACACAGACCAGTATTTGCAGTTTGACTCCCATCACCCTTTGGAGCACAAGTTAGGAGTCATCAGGACTCTGTATCACAGAGCAGACAGCATCCCCACTAGCTCAGGAGCCAGGCAGAAGGAGAAATCCCACACAAGACAGGCTCTAGAGCAATGTGGATATCCTAACTGGGCCTTCCTGAAAGCAGAGAAGAAACCCAAACAGGACTCCAGTCAGCCAACAGGTGAAAAGGAGGAACCCAGACCCAGACCAGTGGCCATTCCATATGTTGAGGGAGTATCAGAGAAACCGAGACGTTTATTTTCTAAACATAACGTCCCAGTGGCTTTTAAACCCCAAAATACATTACGGCAAAGACTGGTTCATCCCAAAGATCCAGTCCCCTGGCACAAACAGAGCAATGTTGTGTATTAGGGCTGCAACTAACGATTATTTCAATA